TAATCCTGTAGTTCAAGCAATTAGCTCTACAAATATTAGCTGCAATCAAGGTCTGGCACATGTGGTAATTTTCCCTCTAATAAATCAATCAATTCTTTCCATGGAGTGTTTTCTCTCCCTTACAGTCATTAGAGAATTACAATGCTACTTGAAGATCACCAGCAACTTGAATTAGTCAAGGAATGTCAATCAAATTTGCCAGATTTTGCTTTAACGATGAGAAAAATGGAACAGATTCACAAAGGCCTCTTGTCTCAGAATAGCAAGCTTGATAGACCTTTGTTGAATTTTTCATAGAGAGGCCCTAGATCATAACGGTCCATTTGGAGGAAACTCAAAATCAGTACTACCCATGACAAATAACATAAAATGCAGACCTTCTCATTAATCTGAAAATTGTTGGAATAATCAGCATGCAGGGGGTCTAGGCAGTGCGACATTTCGTGATGGTTAACAAGTTAGTACAGGAGAGAAACAAGGCAAGTAATCCAGCACATGGACTCATTTTAGTGCCACAGGTTTCCTTTCTTTAGTTTAGAAGAGAACTAAAAATCCAGACTGTGCTTCTCACAGCTGACTGTAGGGATGGAAGTCAGGGCTTCGGGGAATATGCAGAGGAGTGTGAGGCAGAGGGAGTGAGCTCCCCACCACCCCTGCAGCATAGGGATGGAAGTCAGGGCTTCGGGGAATATGCAGAGGAGTGTGAGGCAGAGGGAGTGAGCTCCCCACCACCCCTGCAGCACAGCAGCTCAACCCTCATCTCTTGTTTCCTTCCCATGTTCAGTTTTTCTGGGTAGAGATGGTCTGAGAATCAGCAGAGTGGCCCAGACCACTATGTTCATAAATGCACGAAATGAATGCCAGAGAAACTAAGAAATTCTTCATTAGTGAGGTACGGCATCCCATACCACGCTTTTTATTATACTTGGGTGAGGGGTAGAAGGTTGAGGAGAAAGCTGGGGAGAATTTGTACACCTTTGATTTGAGCCTTGCGCCCTCCCCCACCAGAGGATCATAAGGAAAAAACCCCACTGCAGCCTGAAGAGACAAGAGACATGTTCACTGCAGAAGAAGCAAACACAGAGTCTCCAATTGTGCTCCTTTCTGTACAGTTTTCTAGTCACTCTAAGAAACGGTATCATTATCCAGCACCTGAAAGGGGTCACAGGGAAGAGGGCTGGGCCCAGTTCCATCTTCTTATGTCACCAGATGTAATCCTATTAAGACTCGAAGAAGTAAAGATTTCAGTAGGGCTCTTGGTGAAAACTTGCTGACATTAATGACTCAAATTCTCAGAGAGACTGTGAAGAAAATGGTGTCATCACTGTCATTCAAGCCATTTAAGATGAAATTTGAAAAGAAGGCTGTCAGAATAATGACTGCCAAGTTTCATTATATCATCCTCAGAGGGTGGATCACACACTACTATGCAGCTTGTGGGTGGTTGATGTTGAAGTTTGAAAGGAATCTGTGCTGGGGAGTGGTGAAGTGGGCGTGGGTCCTGAGGGGAGCTGCCTCCGTGGCCAGGAGCCATCACTACTGATGTGCACATAGTGCCTGGGGATAGACCATGATCCTACTCATTGGGACAGTTAGAGCAGTGCCAAAAGAACACAAGAAAACTTGAGCTATCGATACCAGTGCCTGTTTATCAATTTATCATGTGAATATTCCTCCCGAGTGACCAGGATATTATTCTGACTGTGCACATGGCAGCACAGAGATCCCTGGGAAACCTGGTTAATAATCAGAAGGAAGCTATGTGAGGAGAGGGTGAGATCAGTGGCATTCAACCTTAGCTACACATTGCAATCAATGGGTGATTCAGGGATAAGGTCACATTAAAATCAAACACATTAAGCCGTGTGTGATGTCGCACGCCTTTAATCCCAGCACTCGGGAGGCAGAGGCAGGTGGATGTCTGTGAGTTCAAGGCCAGCTGATCTACATAGTAAGTTCTAGGACAGCTGGGGCTACAGGGAGGCCCCGTCTCAAAAAAACCAAAAAAAAAAAAAAAAAAAATCAGACATATTTGAACCTCAAGGGTGAGGATCAGACATCAGTATTTGAAAATCTCTGTCAGTGATTCCAATGAGCTGCCAAACTGAGCACTTCTTGTTTAGAACAAAGGGTGTGGCTTTAGACCAGTTTGTTCAGTAAAGACAAAAAAATTATACTGCTATTGTTTCATTAAAGAAAGGAAACTTTAATAAGTAGTATGAGAGGATATAATTTCAGGCTGAGGAATTAACTCACTATGCTATATTCGGTTTTTGTCGCTACAGACAGGGATCACTTTACTGTAGACTGATGTAGAGCTAAAAGCTGATGTAATCAAATTGCTTTCTCCTGCTTGGACAACTTTAAACACCCTTGACAGGGTTTTGGCTAATTAAACCACTGAACTATGTTAACCACCCCTCTCTTGTCATACCCTTTATAAAGAAGTATTAATACTATTGATTAAGTTGCAATTCTGTCGTTTACAGTTACCAAATATGTTGATTTAATAAGCCCAATTTTATCTAGACACCTTCAACTAAGGTTTCGGGGATGAATGAAATACACATATCACCAGATAAGTGCTAACTGGGGGCCCTGGGTACCCCTTGTTTTGTTATGATGACTAACACACTAAATCCATTGGAGGAACAAATTATCTGAGAGGAGCTTTTTTTGTGGTCTTTTTGAGACAGTGTCTCCCTGTAGCCCCAGCTGTCCTGGAACTCACTCAAGACCAAGCTGGGCTTGAACTCACAGAGATCTGCCTGCCTCTGCCTCCCAAGTGCTGGGATTAAAGGTGTGCACACCTGGCTGAGAGGAGCTTTTTATTGTGTATGGAATTATATTTTCAATCTTATTTTGAGTGTCTGCATGGAACTACCTGCAGGCTCTTCTGTGCTATGGTGGATGGTTTTCCCCTCCTGCTCTGAAGGAATGTATTAGTTACTTTTCTGTTGCTGTGATAGAAACACCGACCAAAGCAACTTCTAGAAGGAAGAGTTTATTTGAGCTTATGATTCCAAGGGGCAAGAGTCCATTATGGCAGGGAGGCATGGCTGGAGGAGGAGCAGAAGTTAGGCTCTACATCTTCAAGCAGGCACAAGAAGCAAGAAAGCAGCTCGAGATCTGGCAAGGCTTAAGAACTCTCTAAGCCCACCCCCAGTGATGTCCTTCCTCCAGCATAGCCACACCTTCTAAGACCTCCCAAAACGGCACCACCAAGTGGGGACAAAATGTCCAAGTACTTGGAGCCTATGGGGGACATTCTCATTCAAACCATCACAGGAACATTGGCATTCTGTAGTCAGTCTGTACTTGTCTGTCTTTAACAAGTCAGGATCCAGCAGCTCCCAAGGGAGTGTATCTGTGCTGTGAACAGTTCGTCTATACTTCAAGCCCACAAGCCCAAAGTTCCCTTCAGAGTGGATCTAGTGTACAGAGTCACCTACAGCTCACAATTAAATGAATCACTTATAAATTTCTTTAAAGCTGGAATGCTTGAAGGTAGATTGAGAAATAGAAGTTAGCATAAATACATGTTCTTTGTCAACTAGGACAGTTCCAGTTGTTCTCCAGACACACAAGAGGTAAAAATAATAATGGACTACTTTGCCTTGTTATATTCAACCCAGCTCAACCCAGCTGAAGTTTTGGCCATCCATTTAAAGTCAGGATATAAACCACAGACCTCCAGCACTCTGTTCAGGAAGTTGCCTGTTTTCTCTGGCCTCAATTTCTGTATCTATACAATGGGATACAATTACCATCAGCAGCATCTTCATACTTTCTATGATACTTGTAAGAGTTAAATAACACTATTAGGTAAAATATTGAGCAAAGAACCAGAGTTACTAAGTTTGTAGTAAAAGTTAACTTTGTAAGTCAGAGCCCAGCATAACATGAAACACATAGACACATACAATAAACAATCTCTTGGAGGGAGGGAGGGAGGGAGAGAGAGAGAGAGAGAGAGATCTTATTTTTGTTTGCCCTAGGAAGAACCCTACTGGGCATTTACTAAGAAGCCATCACTGAATTCTAAGCTTTTGTTTTCAGGTCTTAGTAACTTAACCAAATCCATTCTGCTACATAATCTTGTTTAGGACTTTGTCTCCCTAATAGTTAAGGGACACTTGCTCCTCTTGGGTGATTTCCGTCTGACCACAGTCACTGTTTCCATGACAGTACCCTTGTCTTTATAGATTACGGTACTTTATAGACTTAGGGCCATACATCTTACTATAAAATTGGTGCATAGAATGCCTTAGATGAAAGCATTTAGAAATATACATATTTACATCTGCATTTCTGTATTTCTGTGTGTCAAGACAAATTTGAATCAAATTCTAAGTAGATGGCATCTAAAACGTGGTTCTGGGAGAACTGAGGTGAGGAGGACCAGGTCTATGTTGCTCTGGGGCTTTTCATGTCTACACCAGATCCAAGGCAGTGCAATGTCTTTATCAAACTAAAATTAAATATTTCAAAATCAATTAATTACTATTACTAGTACCTCTATCAAAGCTCCTATTCCCCACCACCCGCCAATAAAAGCAAACAAAACCCAGAAGTAAAAACTCATCAATAAATGAAGGGCTCAAGTTGCTGAAAACTTAACAGAGGAGCCAAGCATGTTTCTGAAAAGTTTCAGCTCACCCAATCAGAAAACAGGCTGAGGAAGGAAGGCATTTCTCAAGTTACACCGGGGACTCCATCTGTTACCTTAGACCTTTCTTACCGACACAAGAGGAGATCTTGAAGGCAGTTTGAAAGAGTTTTATTTTACAGATTCTTAACCCAAAGATTTCAATTTAGAGAGAAGCAGGAGAAAAAGAAGACCACTGTGGGACAAAAAGGGAGCGTCGTGAACTGACATTCAACCTGGCGGGAGAAACTGCCTTTCGAGGTAGTCCCTCCAGTTTCTGTGATAAATGCAGCCAGAGAGACAGTTCTCTTTTGATGTCTGCAAAGGTCCTGGGATTGAGCTGCATCCTCGCAAAAGCCATTTCTCAGCATGCCAAACCAACAGAAGAAAATAATTTTTTGCATGGCTGGTGTACTGAGCTTCCTGTGTGCCCTTGGTGTTGTGACAGCGTTGGGGACACCGCTGTGGATTAAAGCCACTATCCTCTGCAAAACAGGGGCTCTGCTTGTCAATGCCTCGGGGCAGGAGCTGCACAAGTTCATGGGTGAGATGCAGTATGGGCTTTTCCACGGAGAAGGCGTAAGGCAATGTGGGTTAGGGGCAAGGCCTTTCCGGTTCTCATGTAAGTAACAATTATATTTGAATTTTTTAATACTTTTGCAACACTCTTCAGACTGTTGAAAGGACTATGCAGAAGGTCTTGCCCTATCCATGGCAGGATTTTTTAAAATCATCATGAGCCATTTGGAATACCCAGGACTTTAAGCAATTTCTTCACCTTTGTTTCTGTTTTCATTTTTATTAATACTTCATTCTTGCTCTTTTTGTTATTCGAACATAGAACTAGTTATTCTGAAGTTAAGCTTTTTGAAAACATAACCCTTTAAGGGTTAGCAAGGTGGCTCAGCTGGTAAAGGCACTTACGCCAAGCCTGGTGCCATACTTCCATCCCCAAGACCCACATGATGGAAGCGGAGGACCACCTTCTACAAGCTGACCTCTGACCTCCACGGATGCTCTGGCACCTGTACTCTCCCCAGAAATCGATCTAAAAAGGGAAAGTACAGCCCTTAATATTCTTACATATCACTTACTATGTAGGAAGTTATGAGATTTTTTTTAATAAAAAGGGACTTGAGGAAATAGGAAAGCTATAGGAAATGTTCTTCATACCTTTTACTCGTCAAAAAAGAACCAGTCCTGGGCTCCTAACTAATCTACCTGCTTTTCCATCTTGGCTGTGACTTTGTTTCTCTCCTGTCCTTGCGCTGCTAGACCCCTTCCTGCTGACAACGATTCTGTTTCCATTTTTAACCAATCTGGAATCACTCTGCTATAGAAAGTTAAAATGATCTGCTGGGATAACTGATGGGCCTTCAAATCATGTATGGAATATGAGAGACTTTTCTGTCATGATTTTTGTGAAATGGAAGTGTTATCCAGAGTACTTATAACCTGTTTATCTCAAGAAGAGAATTTTTAAAAAATTACCATGAGAATAGGCAACTCATTAAATGAAAATTAATAAGAAGTCATTTGTTATATCTCTCACAACACACATCCAGAAGTTATTATTATTTCAAAAGGGCTGGTTTGGAACAATCTTATGAAGACACAGACAGTAAATTACTGCATAAATCACTCTTCAGGAAAGGAGGTTCCCAATTGAGGCATTTAAAATGAATTATTATTTTGCCTGGGTTTCTTTTCTCCTCTGGTATAGGTAGAAGGTGAAATTAATTGAATTTATTATTAACATATGCAGTGTCTAATTAAATTTCAGTGCTGGCCCACTTATATTTCTGTAACATCCCTTCTAGCGCCTTGGCAGTTCTTTGGTACCAACCTTCGACACACATAGGTTACAAAGTGATATGAAATTTCATGGGGCTCTAGAAAATCCCCCAAAATTAGTCTTCTGCTTTTCAAGAAATTATCAACTAGATTTGATGAAGTAGATACCAGCGCCTTTCCCTGGGTGGTTTTAGTCCATTCAAGTAACAGGCTGTTAAGGTTGCTCAGCTTCCTTGGGGGCAGGGGTAGGGAGACAGGGAAACAAAGCAGAATATTGTGTGATTCGCAAGTGTATTAAAAAAAAATGGAAAATAGGCTTAACTGTGAGTCACCAGCAGCTAAAGCCTGAGTAATGCTTCTCACAAAGGAGTCACACAAAAGCAGGGAGTGACAGGGAACTTTCTGGAGTCCTTGCATTTATTATAACGAAAGGGAGATAAAGGCAACTCCTGCCTCAGGATGGATTTCAGAACGAGATGTTTTCTCAGCACTGACTACACACCCGGTATTTCACATGTTGTCTTACTTTTCGTCACAGTCCATAGTCACTGACCTTCCTGTGTTCGGCGTACGCTGACTCCGTCTGTAAAGTTATTCGAATCCAGTGCTCCTCCGTGTTAGGTTCTATGAGGGTTAGCAGAGCTGGTGGGCTTACATAACACTTTCACCCATGCGTCTTCCTGCTACCCTGCACATTTCTGCAGAGCCTAGTGAGGGAAAGCTTATGTCTGTTCTGAGAAAACAGCCCTCTCTTTATACTGCAGGATACACTCATTAAGTCCACACTATATATTACATGTAAATACAAGTGTTAAAAGCTCATCATTACTTTTGGTGAAGCCCAGAAAAATACACGAATAATGTAATTTTTTCTGCCTAAGCATCAAAGTATCTCTTTCAATGTAACATGGGAGAATGTTGGGAAAACTACAGAATAAACAGATCCAATGGATTTCCCAAAAAGCACTCTGCTCACTTAAACACATCCCTCTCAGCGTTGAAACTTCCCATCAACATGCTCTTCAATCATCCTGGGATCCCAGAGTTCACAGTGTTGTCACAGTGCAGCTTATGGGCTACATCATCTTGTTCAAATGCCACCCCCACCTGTCATGAAAGAAGAGAGCCCTCTGGTACGTCTTCCTGATAGCTAAGCGTAAGCCCTCTTAATAAGAAAGAGTAAGTGATTGAATCCTGTCTCCACAATAGTAGCTTGGTTGAGCAAAGCCGATGGCCCGCCCAGACAGCAGAAGGGAGATTCTTTTCTGCTGCTTCCAGAACTCAAGTTGCAGTTGGAACACAGTCATTCCCAGAATAGGCCCCCTTCCTCATTTTTCCTTTAGAAAGTTAGCGAGCAAATACTTGGATTTCCAGAAGCTCTCTAATGTAAGGAACGGAAAAGGTAACTAATCAAAGTGTCAGTCACTCTGGGTCAGTTTTCATGTTACCATCAGTTCACATGAGTTTATTACAATTCTATTGGATTGCCAATTGCATTTTGTTTATCTAAACCCTTTTTGTACTAGGCATTGAACTCAGGGCTTCCACATGCTAGGCAAGTGCTATACCACTGGAATAGAGCCTCAGCCCAGCTTTTCACTTAGATCATCACTCGCCACTGGAAATACAACGCAAACCACACTGGCCGGTTAAAAAACAAAAGCACAAAAAAAACAGGTGAAATTCACTTAATAACAGATTTCCCTTATCCCAAGAGATCCATAATGCTATGACTTAAACATATAACCCATATAAAATCATTGAGATGCTACACATCTTTTTGTTTTTCCTGGTGCAGTCTTTGAAATCTAGCGTGCATTTATACAGCATACCTAGTTAAGACTGGCTGCATTTCACGCATTCATTTTAATGTTATTGTATTGGACAGTATGGATTTCGATGGAGACTTACTCTGAAAAAATTGGCTATTGATGACGTTCATACTCTAAACGAATTTTTGCTTGTGTCTGATGTTCAAGTCTATGTGTGTGATTTTTATGTGCAATGTTTGTGTCACTTTAAAAACCCATATATATGGCATAACATGAGAATGAAGAACGAACCAGAAGAATAGTCTGGAAATGTAGTCATGTTTGTTCCTATTAAATGTTCCCTACTGACCACTCTATCTCTTTTAATTTTAATAAGAATTTGCCCGGCTAGTATGCACAGTTATGCTGGGAAAACTTCTGCCTCATTTACTCAGGCTGATTCTTATTCATCTATGGGTCAGCAGTTCATTTTCTAGAGGTCACTAGCTTTCCTACCCAGCCACAGTCTCCTTCATTATAATGAGGGATGTTTGCCTTTGAAGGCAACACAACTGGCAGATGTAATTCTTCATGATATGTCACCTGTAAAATTTTAATGACCATGTTTAAACTCTAAATGTAGCCATCAAGACAAAAACTGCCAGTTTTGAGCTCAGAGCGTGTGGGTGGGTTTCTGTTTGGTTGGTCTGAAACATTGCAGAACACCATCAAAATATGATACTCGAGAATCATATGGTATCAATCATTCCTAGATACACTGATCTGTTCATTGCCAACACAGTTCAATGAGCTGGTAAAAGCATATGGGGTCTTTTTTTT